TCGTTCAACCTACGTATTGCTCCAAAACGCCAATAGTGATCCGATTGAGACAAAATTTTGCACAGAGTATTGAATTAGGTCTAGATAGGGTTGGAAATCATAGATTTTGATATAGCTCCGATTTATAGTTTCGTCCGATTTAATGTAAATAGTGCACCAAACTCCGACTAAAGCAAAATTCAGATATAGTATCGTCCCATTTTATGTAAATTAAGCTCCAATACTTATCCGATTGATGTATGAGAAATTTCAATATCTACAGGATATTGTAAATATTAACATGTCTTGCATGTACCCATAGTGGTGAAGGGTATCATATAGTCGGCCCCGTCCGACTTTTGAACTTTCCTTACTGGTTTAATTTTCGTTATTTTGATTGCCTTTCACTTGCATATTTTCAAATGGCTTTTAGGTATTAAAGAATATAACAGAGAACACTCCAATTGTTTCGTTGCTTGTGTTGCATCTAGAGTCATCTTCTTACGGGTAACGATATTTTTATTAAACAATATTTTTTATTAAAAAACAGGGTGCGCAAAAATTCGCTCGCGAATGATTCAAAATACATTATTTTCGTTTTGTGCTCATTTTACGAATGAATTTATGGCGATAAATTCTTTACCAAACGAGCATTCGCCAAAGAATGTTCGCACACACATAACAAACGAGTGAGAGCACACAACAACTTTCGTTCGTTTCGTTTGGTGGTTGAAATTCTTTCTGAAATTCTCTCACGAATTAAAACAAACATTCCCGAATACTCGCGAATGCTCAAAACGGCAACAACAATAACAACAAACGTTCGTTTTTGTACTATACGAACATTCGCGAGAGATTGCAAATGCTTGTTCATTCATTGTAAAGGGCCCCATACACTATAAGTCATGCCGTCATGCCGATGAACCCCCTTTTGTATATGTGAGACTGACTAGTGTATACCAAACTTTTCAATCACTATTCCAAAAAATCGATTTTTGTCCCAAAAATTGTAAATTCAGTTGTTTTTTATTCCGTCACAATTTTATTATTTTTGTACACAACATTATTTACTGACAACTTTCAAAATGAATATTGTTCACCAGATTGATAGGGGTTCATTTTCAAAATCAAAACTATTTTGCTTCTGGTATCAAATAGTAGCGGTGAAGAAGATACTCCAGAACCAATAAGAGATGACGGTATATAGTGTATACCACCTACCCAAGATGTCGTCAGAATAGCAATCAATAGGCTGAAGAATAATAAAACAGCAGGTGCCGATTAGCACAACTTGGCTAAATGAATGCATGCTAATGATTGGAACCTCAGCATCTTGTGTTCCGTGCACAAAAAAGGAGACAAGACGATTTGTGCCGACTATAGAGGAATAAGTCTCCTGCCCATCGCATATTAAGTGATATTCAGCGTACTGCTATCCAGCGACTAAAGCCAATGGTCAGGGACATTAGTGGACCATACCAATGCGGCTTCAAATCCACCATTGACCAGATCTATCGGAGCCCTTCAATATCGAACGAGGATTCAGACAAGGTGACAGTTTTTCGTGTAATCTTTTTATCACCTTGCTGGAAAAAGAAGCAAAGGTGAACAGAAATGGTATCCTGTATCCAAACAACACATGTTATTCGCCTAAGCCGATTACATCGATATAATGGGTCAAACATTGCGAGCGGTAAAAGCCACCTTTGAACAAATCTGGAATCTGCCAAGCTGACCAAGCTGATGGTATCAACGCGCAAGACGTCCAGACTCGCATGTCTTACAATTGTGATTTCTAGAGCAACTAGAAAATCAGGCAAAAATAAAGTTTTCGATTTATATCATCCCCTAAACGTTATCTCATCATCACAAAAAAGCATTTTATAGCGATCAACGCTACCATTAACTCTTACTATACACCCCTGCAAACATATACGAATAACTCCTATATCCGAGTACATACATTAATATAAATGTTATCAATTAAAATATCAACCACTCATCTGGGATATAACGTAAAAATCCCCGTCCTATCTCCTGTATGAGTAAATATATGCGCCATTGAAAGAAAAAATTGTCTTTTTCACAAAGAAGTCTGAGTTCATTGACCAGCGAAACATTGACCGATTATCATGACCCTTTGCCGTGTAAAATGCTCTGCTGTTCGGGTTATACAGCGATCAGGAAAACAGACAAAAGTTTCTGGTCCAGTCGATCTCCTAAAAATTTCTGGTTCATTACCAGAAGTCTTCATTGGTCATGCCAAATTTTATAACTTTGGCCTGCACTGTGTTTAAAAATTATAATGGACAGGCGGACGGACACACATGTCTAGATCGACTCAGCTAGTCGAGATATGACGATCGGTATTCAAAAAGATGGGTCTAGGATTAATATTTCTCAACGTCACAAACTATTGGGGCCACTAATAACTTACAACATAGCAGAGAAGGGTATGTGTGAAATATTTGAAATACATAAAGTTTATTTAAATACCTCGTACCAGCTACACATAATTCTATTTTTATATATTTCAGTATACTATACCAATTTATATCTTCCCCTTTTATTAAAGCAAATAATATTAAAATACTGTCTACCACAAAAGAGTAAAGGCCACACTTACCATAAACGTTAAGACGTGCCGAGTGTTCCACACTGCCCATCGTATTCGTTGCTATGCATTTATAAAGTCCACCATCATCGGGTCGTACATGTGAAATATTCAAATGACTTATCACATCGCCAGACATATCGACAAATTGGCCAATTGCAAAGCGATGATGCAGAGAAACATCCATAATGGGCTGGGAGTCCAATAGCCAGGAGAACTATATACAAATAAAGTAAAAGAGAAAAATGTTATGACCATGACAAAGATAAAGAATTTTACAATAATAAAAGCAGTAATAAATTAAAGAATAATTTATTTTAGACTTCTGTAAAAATTTCAAATAAATTTTCAAAAATGAAGTTTATGGTTTAAAAAAATTATTGTTTTAGAATTTTGTCACTGATATTTCTTGAAGTAGAATTACTTCGTAAATAAATAATAAAATTAAAACTCTGCACATTATTCCTCCCTTATTCGTTATTTCTGCATTATTAACTCACCTGTGGTGGCGGTGAACCGCTGGCTGAACACTTAAGCGATATTAATGGCCCAGGTCGTACGTTCTGTTCAATGAACGTATAAATCAATTCTGGCACAGTATCTATAAAATGGAATAAAAAATAATACACATACAAGTGTATAAGTTAACATCAGACACACACATACACATAAGAGACATCTCTCTACTGCAGTAAAGTTAAGAAGTTAAAAGAAATAAACCAGACGGAAGAATTCCATTAAATACTTACCACCCAATTTTAATTCAGCCATGGCTTGGGCACTCGACTTTTGATTTTCAACCAGACACTGATAGACGCCACGATCTCGGCGACCTACATTCGTTATCATTAAAGAATTTTTCGCCAAAAAACGTAAGCTGAAAACAAAAAGACGGAAAAGAGTAAAGTAAATATGTATGTTCTGATGTGGGTGACAGACACTTAAAGGGAAAATCAATTTAAATTGGTGAGAATTTTTATGAAATGGTATTCTACTTCTACCGGAACTACAGGCGTGGATTTTTTAAGAATATTTTTTTCCAACGCTATTAGAGCGTCAATTTTTAAGGAATATTTTTTCTACGACTACTAGAGCCACATGCGTGGATTTTTAGAGAATATTTTTCTAGGACTACTAGAGCCACAGGCGTGGATTTTTAGAATATTTTTTTTTCTACCACTACCAGGTGGGATTTTTAAAGAATATTTTTCTAGGATTATCCGGGCCACAAGCATGGATTTTTAAAGAATATTTTTCTACCACTATCAGAGCCACAGGCGTGGATTTTTATACCCTTCACCACACTGTGGTACAGGGTATTATGTCTTTGTGCATATGTTTGTAACAGGCAAAAGGAAACGAGATACACACATGGTTCCTTTTGAGAATATGCATAGAATCACTTTCTGAGTCGATTTACGCATGTCCGTCAGTCCGTCCGTCCGTCCGTCCATGTATTTTTGTGAACAAAGTACAGGGCGCATTTATGATCCGATTTGGATGAAATTTGGCATGGGTCACTTATTTGGCCCTATTGAAATTGAGAAAAACCGGTTCAGATTTAGATATAGCTCCCATATATATTTTCGTTCGATTTAATGTAAATGGTCCACTAAAGTCCCTAGATATATCTCGATTTGCACGAAATTTGGCACAGCGTAATGAATTAGGTCTAGAACTATGTGTGTTAAGTTTCCGGAAAATCGGTGCAGATTTAGATATAGGTCCCATATATATTTTCGTCCGATTTAATGTGAATGGTCCACCATATATAGAATGGTGTGTGTTAAGTTTCCTGAAAATCGGTTCAAATTTAGATATAGCTCCCATATATATTTTCGTCCGATTTAATGTTAATGGTGCACCAAAGTTCCTATATATCCTTCGATTTGCACGAAATTTGGCACAGCGTAATGAATTAGGTAAAGAATGATGTGTATCAAGTTCCCTGAAAATCGGTTAAGATTTAGATATAGCTCCCATATACATTTTCGTCCGATTTAATGTAAATGGGTCACCAAAGTCCCTATAAATCCTTCGATTTGCACGAAATTTGGCATAGCGTAATGAATTAGGTATAGAATGATGTGTGTTAAGTTTCCTGAAAATCGGTTCAAATTTAGATATAGCTCCCATATATATTTTCGTAATGAATTAGGTATAGAATGATGTGTGTCAAGTTTCCTGAAAATCGGTTCAGATTTAGATATAGCTTCCATATCTGACCAAATGAAAAATTTCCAGTTTCGTTTTACTGGTCCTTTAAAAATCTGTTGAATATACCCAATGTGGTGAAGGGTATCATATATTCGGCCCCGTCCGACTTTACTATTTTTCTTACTGGTTAAAGAATATTTTTTCTACCACTATCTGATCCACAGGCGTTGATTTTTAAATAATATTTTTTCTACCACTTTTTCTACCAATACCTCTACACATATTGCGTTGAACATCCTTGCAAAATTCCCATCAGCGGTTTACCAGAAAAATAAAATAGCATTCAAACACAAACTGTTCTAAAATCACATTCCCAATATTTGCTGCTGACCTAGGCATTTGCCAATTATGATTTTTTATTTTTGATTTGTGGCAAATAAAACTCTGTGGACTAAAGCATTTGATTATGATGATGATTTAAGGCGCAAATAATATGGAGGGAAATAAATTGGCTTACACTGGCACATAAATTATTTGACTTCAGCAAAGAAGAACAAAAATGATTTTCTAGCCAACCAAATCCCATAGGAAAATTGGCTAACATAAATAAATCCAATGCGAAGTGTTGTAATCATTGTAATAATGTAGCTACGAATGCTGGCTATAGAGAAACTAGACACACCAAAAATCCCGACCATTACAATTCAATCCTTTTGCCAAAAATCCATTGGATTCGGTCCGAAAAAAATCAAAGGATATGCAAAGCCAAAAAAAGGGTGGAGATCCACTATTAGGCGGCTCAACAGATGTTGGGAGATTTCTTTTTATTTTATTGCTTTGATGATTTTTGTCTTTTGGGACATAGGGATTTGAAAACAGTGGCAAAATGGAGGAACTATTTAAATAATTTTTCTGTGAATTTTATAAAATGTAAAGCGGAACAACTAATAGTAAAGCAATACACATTTGAGCCACTGTAAAAAGTCAATATGTGCTCTGGTAGACCACTATAAAAATATACCAACAACAACATCAACAAAAGAAAATAACGAGAAATCAAAATAACAAATCAAGCGTAAAGTTTTTATGCTTCACTAAGGAATTTCGACAAAACTAGAAAAAGGGATAGGACCCGAACACACACAGATGCACACGTTTACATGTAAACAGTGAGATATTTATCTTGGAATCCCTCTTGGAATCACATATGCTTACATATGTATATATGGGTTATACCACATACCAACATCATCAGAGAATGTGTTTTTGTTCCTTTTCGGGTGGCATTTTTATGATTATATTGCTGTTATGTGTGAGTCTGTATGAAGGTATGTTTGTTGGGTTTGGAAAAAGGATTATTTGTAGGCGTGCAAGCATTGTTTTGTCAAAATATGTGAGTGCGTTTAAAGTGTGCTAATAAAAATAAATAAGAATTTCCATATCAATGATTTTGGAAAATATTTTGACATTAAATTCAAAGAAAATATTTAATATTTATTAAATATCGAGATACAGGAAATATTAAATACGAACCACAGAGCTAAGAGCTATCAGAGCCACAGACAGGATTTTAACAGAATATTTTTTCTACAAATACCAGAGCCACAGGCGTGGATTTTTAAAGAATATTTTTTCTAGGACCATCAGAGTCTCAGGCGTGGATTTTTTAAGAAAATTTTTTCTAGGACTGTCAGTGTCTCAAGCCTGGATTTTTAAAGAAAATTTTTTCTAGGACTGTCAGTGTCTCAGGCCTGGATTTTTAAAGAAAATTTTTTCTAGGACTGTCAGTATCTCAGGCCTGGATTTTTAAAGAAAATTTTTTCTAGGACTGTCAGTGTCTCAGGCCAGGATTTAAAAAAAAAATTGTTCTAGGACTATTAGAGTCTCAGGCGTGGATTTTTAAAGAATATTTTTCCTAGGACTATCAGAGTCTCCGGCGTGGATTTTTAAAGAATATTTTTCCTAGGACTATCAGAGTTTCAGGCGTGGATTTTTAAAGAATATTTTTCCTAGGACTATCAGAGTTTCAGGCGTGGATTTTTAAAGAATATTTTTCCTAGGACTATCAGAGTTTCAGGCGTGGATTTTTAAAGAATATTTTTCCTAGGACTATCAGAGTTTCAGGCGTGGATTTTTAAAGAATATTTTTCCTAGGACTATCAGAGTTTCAGGCGTGGATTTTTAAAGAATATTTTTCCTAGGACTATCAGAGTTTCAGGCGTGGATTTTTAAAGAATATTTTTCCTAGGACTATCAGAGTTTCAGGCGTGGATTTTTAAAGAATATTTTTCCTAGGACTATCAGAGTTTCAGGCGTGGATTTTTAAAGAATATTTTTCCTAGGACTATCAGAGTTTCAGGCGTGGATTTTTAAAGAATATTTTTCCTAGGACTATCAGAGTTTCAGGCGTGGATTTTTAAAGAATATTTTTCCTAGGACTATCAGAGTTTCAGGCGTGGATTTTTAAAGAATATTTTTCCTAGGACTATCAGAGTTTCAGGCGTGGATTTTTAAAGAATATTTTTCCTAGGACTATCAGAGTTTCAGGCGTGGATTTTTAAAGAATATTTTTCCTAGGACTATCAGAGTTTCAGTTTTTAAAGAAGTTTCCAAAGAGGGGCTATTAGAAGAAACGTGTATCGGCATTTTGAAAGTTTACGTCAGGAGGTTACATACAAATGCGTGGCGATATATTCCATTACCAAGTCATTTGAAAATATTCCAGTTAAGACTTCTCGAAATCTTTGTATTTTAGGTATATAGTGTTTTTGGCAATATTACTGATATAATTGTGAGGAATGTCTAATGCCGGTTTACAGTAGGTCAGATTATTCTACAAAAATTTTCGCCATAAGGCTATACTACAAGTCTCAGAATAGAAAAAACACTAAACAAGAGAAATTCGTATATAATTTATATACAATATTCGTATTGACAACAAATTCTTTGGAGAATTTAGAAAGCGTTAATTAAACACCTTGCATATGGTTCAAATACCAAATTATTCTCCATAGAATTACACTATCAAACAAAAGAAAAGATTTTTGTAAATACGATATTTATTTGTTTATCGTATTCTCTTGTCTTATATAATAATCAAGATTTTGGAATAGAAGAGGGTAGAAAAGTTTTAATTTAACAGTATCTGGCTCGGTTCTTAAAAATGAAAAAAAAAACAAGAATGGCATGAATCACTAACCACTTAAACTACTAACATTTGAAATAACCCCAGGAGCCCCCTTCATATTTGTTCCATTTCGATATGTATTTGAGAAATTGAAAATAATTTGTATTTTCCACATAAATACCTTTAAGGAAATTGTACGAAATGATAAGCATGAAATTAGTCAGTAAAATGCCAATTTAGCAGAAACGTGATATAATTTTGTGTTCTATGGGACATGTGACGTATACATGTTTATAACAAAATATTTACCATACGTATACGCATATTTTTTCCATATTTTTTTATTTTTTCCATTAAATAATTAAAAGTCTTAAAATCAGCTCTTTACAACATATCTTCTATTCCTTAATATTGCAACGTTTCCATTTAATGTTCAAGTTGACTAAATAATCCCCCACAAAAAAAATATGTTTACGTAGACATAACAAAGCCTCCGATGTAAAAAAAATAAATTAAAATCATTCAATAATGTCTGTTACTTGATGTGTACTATATACATTCATTTCATATTGAATACCAGTGTCTGTTATGTACACATTACATTTAAATAAATATATTCATACACATAATGTACTCATTCAAAATATGGCCAGATACAATAAATTTATATAAACATTTGTTTAAACATGAATGTTTACATAGTAAGCAATAATTTGGTGAGATATGCAAAAATTAATTTAAAGAGAAATAGAGAGAGAAATGTATTTTTATATACGATACTTCAATTGGTAACTTCATTATTGGAAGTATTGATTTCCAAGCTAGATCGTCATTATAATTCAAGTGGCAATGACATTGAAGTTATTCAAGACAAATCTTGTAGGAAATTATTCTAATACGAACAACTAGAAAAATACGTCAAATATATTTCGTCCCAAAAAGGAAACACATTGCAAAAGTATTGGAAAATTAATCGAAGACCAGAAATTAGCCTAGCTTAATAATGAGACTGTCAAAACTGCGCTACGGACTTTAACATGCCGAAATTTATGTGGAATAATTGACAACAAATGTTTATTCACAAGAAATAAAAAATACCAAATTATATTTACTTCATTGAAAAAATGCGTCTAAATTATTTAAAATACCAAAAATGTGGTGGGTTCTTTACATGTGGTCTATGTAAACATATGGAGTTGAAATTATGGACCTTTATAACATTGTTTCGGCAAACACAGTGTTTCGCCATGCAAGAACTCGGAATGCCAACCTAATTGGCTGTAATTTGCTATGTTTGGTTCTCATTGCGTACCAAATCTTCTTACCGAAAATCATCAATACTGGCCTATTTTAGGGTAGCCCTTTCAACAGTATACCCATTACTCGGTATTTCGGGGAGCTTAAACATGTTTCTCAACAGAAGGTATTTTGGATTCACTTGGGCTACCAGACTTGCCAACGAAATATCAATATAGGCTTCTGTTAGGGCTTAGCCACGACATAGCCACCAAATCTCCTACCAAGAACAAAAAATTATAAATGTCAGTTTACGGTTTGGTACCCATAGAACGGTGCAATCCCAGTTTGGTATTTTGAAAACTTTAGCCACATTTTCTAACCAATGGAGTTGTAATTTGGTGTAAGGACTGACTTATATACAAATTTGTGCGGTGTATACATACATATATATATATATATATAATATATATATATATGATATAAGTATTCTTTTTCAGTATTAATACATTTTTCTCATGGAAGTAGGAATCACTCCGGGTTAAATTTTCCAAGTAGAGTGCCTGTAATTTGGAACACAATATTTTCCGGAACATGAACCCCATAACATAGTCCCCATATAAATGTCCCGATCGACTTAGGAATTTTGAATGCTACCCTCGTGATAGTGGGTATAAAAAGCTAGGCTCGGCCAGTTTTGTATGCTCCAAGATACCGAAATTAAATGTCCGGCTAAATTCACAATAATCAAAAAACAGGGGTGACACTTTTACCTGGGGGCTATGTCGGAAAATGATCGCATATCCATAATGTTTTCATCCTTTAAGAAAAGCCTAGAAATGAGAAACTACAGCTCCTTCGCTCTAAAAATATTTAAGGGCTCCATCTTTAGTATTGCGAACTCCATCGTGACGACTGACGGGTATTGCTAAATCGACAGAGCATGCTGAATGATTGATACACATATAATGTGTGAGGTCCCGATGAATAATTCGTGTTGTTGTTATTTATAACATGGTAAAGAGTAGCAAAAGGATCGGATTTTGTAGATTCCTTTTTATGGGGGAAGTACCAGTAGGAGTGGATGGATAGGTCCCACTTCGGACTAGATTTATGTTTGGTAAAAATATTACGATCTGCAGAGTTCGAGTACAGAGTTTGCTAATTTCCTAACAGGATTTTGACTCTTTGTGAGGGAAATAACCGAAACGAATATTTAAAGCAATGGGTCGTAACTTCCAACTTGATGTAGATTTGGTAAAAAAAATTACAATGTGCACAGTTTGGATAAATTCGGATTACCAAATAGCTGCATATGAGAATTATAATTGATCAAAACCTAAAATGGACCTAAACTGCATTAAAAATAAACGACTAAATGTTTCCTCTTATTGGAGAAGGTTTTCAGAAGTTCGAAGAGTGGTACTTCTCTTCGAAGTCAAATAAATATGTTAAGCAATAATACCATGAACAAACATTAGAACAAACTGTACATTACCCTTCAGAGTTGTCCCCGACAAGCATTAAGGCATTTTTAAATCGAAGCCAAATTATTCGAAATTTATTAGGACCGTAAAGGTCTAAAACCGGTACCTCACCGAAGCCCATTTTAAAATGCACCATCAACAAACAATGTCGATTTAACAATGGGAGTCTAGGGACGTTTTTCAAACAAAACCAGTAAGGAAAGTAGAAAAGTCCGACTGGGCCGACTATATGATACCCGACTATTCGTTACTTGGGAAGAAAATAAATATGGGAGCCATATCTAAATCTGAACCGATTTTCACGAAACTTAACACACATCATTCTAGACACAATTCAGTGCGCTATGCCAAATTTCACACATCGTTCTAGACTTAATTTCGTACGCAATGCCAAATTTCGGGCAAATCGAAGGATATATAGAGGAAGGATATTTAGTACACTATTTTCCTTAAATCGGATGAACATATATATGGGAGCTATATCTACATCGGAACTGATTTTCAGGAAACTTAACACACATCATTCTAGACTTAATTTAGCACGCTATGCCAAATTTCGTGGAAATGGAAAGATATATAGGTACTTTTGTGCACCATTTACGTTAAATCGGACGAAAATATATATGGGCCAAGTTTCATCGAATCAAAAGTGCGACCTGTACTTTGTTTACAATTTAACATGGACAGACAGATGGACGGACAGACGGACGGACAGACGGACATGCATAAATCAACTTAAAAGAGATTCTATGCATATTCTCAAACGGAACCATGCGTTTATCTCGTTTCCTTTTGCCTGTTACAAACATATGCACAAATACATAATTCCCTGAACCACAGTGTGGTGAAGGGTATAAATAATTGCAATTTTACATTTCGGAATATCCCTATTTTTTGGTATATTGGGTACTTATTCAACCGAATTGGCTCTACTTTCATATTTTGAGTTCTCACATAACGGTATCTCCAATTTTTGGTATTGTGAGGATCGATTTCATCCAAACTTTTCACATCGCATTATTTCTTCCAAACGTAGTTCAAGTTCGAAGATGGGGAATATCGGTTCACTCCTTCTGGTACCTCTCATTTTCCCTATTTTCTTAACCAAGCCTAGATCAAGTTTGAATATGGGACCCATTGGTCCACTCCTTCTGGTGCCTGGTAATACAATTATTATTACTTTTCTCATATAAATTCAATTTCATTTTCTAAAGGGCCCCATACACTATAAATCATGCCGTCATGCCGATGAACCCTTTTTGTATATGTGAGATTGACTAGTGTATGGCAAACTCTTCAATCACTAATCCAAAAAATCGATTTCTGTCCCAAAAATTGCATTTTAAGTCGTAATTTCGGTTGTTTTTTTTTTTTTATTCCGTCACAATTTTATTATTTTTGTACACAAAATTATTTACTGACTTTGAAAATGAATATTATTCACCAGATTGATAGGGGTTCATTTTCAAAATCAAAACTATTTTGATTTTCTTCATGCATTGTGTGTGTCACACATACATAAATAAACTTTCAAAAAACAACACATACTATGATAAATGCTGTACGTCATGATGTATAGTGTATGGGGCCCTTAAATTTCAAATATATAAATTTAAACATGTCCGAGAAACCCGCCACCAATAACGGCTTCGAATTTCAGCACTCTAATATACACGAGTATATAATTTTTATTGCATAACATGAGACTTTATATATAGTGAATTTAGTTGATATAAATGCACTGATGTATATACTCACAATTGTATGTGTACATTTCAGTCTGTGAACTGTCTACATATAGATAAAAATGGCAAAAGCCATAGAAAACATTCATAAAACTCACATATATAACAGAACATTTATGTTATGTCTATATTGATATTTAGTTTTAAATGCTTTTGTACACTCATTCACTTACTCACACACACACCAATACACAAATTCACACATTTACACCCTTCTCACACTCTTCCCCCTGCTTCAGTGTACTTACTTATCACGTCCAGTGGTTAGAATATTATCCTCCTGCAATGGTTTGCCATTGTGCAGCCATTCGATGTTATCGATCGCCGAACCCGTTGTCGAACAATTGAAAATTGCCGTTCCACCCGAATTGACAATTTGAACTTGTGGCAAGATGTGAACGGAAACATATGAATTCACAAATAAACGAATTTCAATCCGCTGTTCGCCAAATTGATTTGATGCTTGACAGACCTAAAAAAAAAAAAACAAAAAACGAGAGAGAAATAAAACAAATAAGCGAATGAATAAATGCGAGTCAATGAATTGTTGGATGACTGGCACGAATGAATGAACCGACAGACAGACGGTCAAACAAATAAACGAACAAATATATACAATATAAAATTGCGGTTTTCTGATAGTTTCTATATGAATAAATCAGATATTTCAATTTGTATAGAAATGTGTCTTATAGTGAGGTTTTATTTGTTGTTGCTGCTGCTGGTGGTGTGTTTTTGAATTTGACGAAACAAGTAATGAATTTCAAACCAAAGCCCCCCAACTAACATTGGCTTTTGTTTTAGTTCTGAAATTGAAGTAAAGTGATTAACTTCGTGGAAATATAAATGGAAACAATTTTAAATTTTACCGATAGTTTATAAATTTGTCGAATATTGTATATAACATGGTTGCAAAACTGGCTGTGAATGGACAATTTTTACTTCATAGGGAAAGTGTGGATAAAACCTAGGACTTAAGGGCTATGTCAATACATGGACTAAAACGAAGATTTTTCCCACCCTTCGTCAGAAATATGTCAAAATATTAAAAATGGAGCTATGAAAATGAAAATGTAAGGAAAAGGCAAAGCGAGGGCTACTATATTTGTGCAAGGCATAATCCCATTTGACAGAACATCGATGGACTTAAATCTCTGAATGGACGAAGGTCGTTATATCACATTGATGTCGCCTGCGATAATTTCATCCTTAGGTTATTCTTCCGCCAGCATACATTTGATTTTGCATCTGTCCATACAAAAGGCCTATTTTTATTGGATCCCGAAAATATGCCACGTGTTGGAAGAAACGCGAACAAAACATGACGAACCATTGAACATCATGACACAGCCTATCCCAACCAGGGATGGTCCGTGTGACGACTTTTTAGGTTTTCGACTGTCAAAAAGTTGTAAACGTCGAAAACGTCATTTACCTGTATAAAATGTAATATATGTAGTAAACGTCATTTATTTCAATATTATTACCATATACAGTTATTTTCAGGAATATATATTATTTTTACATATATCTGACTATTCCTTACTAGAACTGATAAAAAATTCTAAACTTTTTGGAGAAGAAATTTTCGAAATTTTATATGGATTGGAGTAAACCATACGCAATTTCCAAATTGTTTAATGGAAATAGCTATTTTGTCAAAAACATAATGGTTTTGGATAGGTTTCGGACGTTTCTGACGTATGTATTATACGTCGGAAATGTATGTCATTTACGTCACAGTTTCTGACGGACCATCTCTGATCCCAACACATCGGCAAAACCAGACTTCTTTGAACGGATAAAAAGTAGATTTGGTGCGTGTTTTGTTGTGTAGCGCCGTTAAACGTCTTTCTATCTACAATGATCTATTTATATTTACGCACATCAAGAACAAAATTTGTGGTCGCCGGTTTTCGTTGTCAAAATAGTTTTGTCCTATTTTAAGTAAACTGTCCACCGAAGATCCAAAGTAAAGCCGAATGACACTAAATTCTGTAAAACGTACAGATATTAGGATTTCCTTAACGAGTGTCATGTCAATCGGTTCAACTTTAGATATAGCTCAACTATATGTATTAGTTTCGGAAAAAATAAATCCATTAGGCCGGTCGTCGAAAATGTCGATAAAATCGAAGAAATGATCAAAGTTGACTGGTATGTAAGCAGTCGTAACATCGCCCAGTTTAGTTGCGTTGCCAGTTGCCAGATTTGCATTATGGATGACATCTGTTGTCAAGTTCAGTTGCTTCACTTTTGGTCAAACCAAAGCCACTATCGATGATGTGTGGAAGGGCATTTCAGAAGACCTTAACTGATATGGCCCACCAACACGCAATCCAAATGAATGGCAGAAAGTGGCGAACATCTTATTTTGGATCTATGATATGTACGTGTGTATCATCAATACATCCGACAACACCCTGGAACTTTGTTTTCGAACAATTTTATTCTTCCCTTTTTCCTCCTCCGTTAATTTGGAGGAGGATAACTTCGGCGAAAACCACCGACATTGTCGGTTGAGCCATGTACATTTTTAAGAGAGGGGGAATTGCTGTTGACCGTCAGTCTCTTCGGAATCAGGGTTTAAGGCTTTATCTATGTACACAACGGCATCTTTTGGTAGTCGAATATACGCCTTCAAGCTAATATGAGCAGTTGAGAAATGGATCACATACGATAACCCTGTGCGAAAACGATCGTGGCCATAGAGCGATGAAGCGCCTCAAAGGGTGGCCAAACCATGACTAACGGCCAGGAAGGTTCTGCTATGCATTTGGTGGACTGGAAGGGGATTATTTATTATGATTTGCTTCCATATGACCAAACGCTAAATTCTGATCTCAACAGTCAACAACTGGACCGTTTGAAGATGGCAATTGACCAGAAACGGCCAGAATTGTCCAACAGGAGAGGTGTCGTGTTCCACTAGGACAACGCTAGACTACACACATCTACAGTGACTCGCCAGAAACTTCGGGAGCTTGGTTGGGAATTTTTAATGCATCCGACATACATTCCGGACTTGGCACCAAGTGATTAACATTTTTTTCTTGCATTGCAAAATAAAAAATGATAACAAATTGGTATATGGGCGGATTGTGAAAATCGGCTACTGGAGTTTTTTGCAAATAGAGAGGCATTATGAAGTTACATTTAAAATGGCAACAAATCGAACAACAAAACGGTGCATATCGGACATTCCGAAGCATGTTAAATAAAGTCCTATATTTCATATAAAAATAATGGATTTATTTTTCCCAACCCAATATGAATGGACGGTATGTCTGCATCTGCACCACTTTGAACAAAACGCAATAACGCCATTCTAGTCTCATAAGATAAGTTGTGAAAAATTTCTTGTCAATCGGACAAACATTAGGAGTTTGGTGCACTATTTACCTAAAATCGGAGAATTTAAAAAAAATCCGAAGAAAAGAAAAACAACACAGATCATTCTAGACTTAATTCATTACGCTATGAAAAATTTCGTATAAATCGAAAGATATATAAGGACATGATTTACATTAAATCGGGCGAAAATATATATGCGGGAGTTATATCTAAATCTGAGCCGTTTTTCACAAAACTTAACACACTTAACATAACACACATCATTCTAGACTTAATTCAGTACGTTATGGCAAATTTCGTGCAAATCGAAAGATATATAGGGACTTTGGTGCACCATTTACATTAAATTAGACCACTATATATATGGAAGCTATATATAAATCTGAACCGACTTTACCCAATTTCAATAAGGTTCACCCTTGGGCCAAATAGAAGAGATTTAACATGGACAGACATTAACGTGGACATTAACATGCATATTCTCGAAAGGCACCATGGGTCTACCTCGTTTCCTTTTGCCTATTACAAACATATGCACAAAGACATCATACCCTGGACCACAGTGTGGTGAAGGGTATAAAAAGAATAAAATTTAAATCATTGATTAATATACACTTATGACTTTATTATTATAAAAAACTCAAGTGTATACTTTTAACCGTGACTCACTGTATATCAGTCGCAATAATTTATTGAATTTCGATTTTTCCAATTCAGGATAGGATAAATAAATCTACTGTGCCTCGGTCGATTGTGTAACAGTTTTATGTAGCCTGGAGAAATTTCTGGTCACGGAAAAAATTCTTATCCTCGGATCACTTTCTACAATTCTTAAATTCTCGACGAATTAATCGAAGAAGGTTAAGTCAAAATCGCAGATATCTTTCTTTGCGTTTTTAAATAATACAGGAAGTTCTGTAAAAATAGATCAAATCATTGCCAACTACCTACAAATTCACTAAAGAAGTTTACCAAAAAATTCTCTTAACAAACTCTAAACTAACTGACCCAAAACGAACTACTTGGACTTTGTTTTCAATTTTCCGCACATCATTTATTATCAACGATTTTTTTTTATTTCGCCATTATCTAGTCAATCGGGGAAATGACTTTTATTATGGTAATTTTTATTTCGTCATGTCGCTCTCTCTATCTCTCGTTCTTTCTGTCCTCTTGTCTATTTAAAGTACATTTCATATTCAATGACAAATATAAATAGAAAACCATTCCATTTATATCATCATAAATGGCAGAATTCAGAGGAAATCAGCACTCAACATATCTAACATAAGTACGGAACAGAAATAAAGTCAACCTCGGGAGTGGAACATGAGCAAAAAACCTAAGCACACACACAGAGAAACAAAAGAGGAAGTAAATTTGTTTAAACAAAATGCACATAAAGACACTGTAATGATGATCGACTCTTCAGAAAGGGAAATGTAAAAGATAAATAAATTTGAATCGAATTTATGCAAATTTAAATTGTTCTTCATTATGTCTCCACTTGAAATTGTTGAAAAGGCACAAAGGATGATGGTTGGCTGCTTGGTTGCTTGGTTCGTCGGTTGGATAACAACAATGACGACAGTGATTATGCTATTATAACATCAACGCAGTGGTGGAACTGCTGAAGCAACAGCAGGAACGGTATGATGACGACTCCAACAATGAGTATCATTGTTGTCATAAAAATCTACTTGAATTTAAATCAATTTAGAAGAATATGAACAATCCCAGGCAAATGTAACAAATTCAAAACATACCCGCACTGGGTTTTATTTTCAATGACTTGACAAGAAATGTGTGAGAATGATGATGATGTTCTGGCAGCATTACAGTTGAATGCGCCAACAATTGAGGAGGACAAAAATTAAAACAATATGTTTCAATTTAATTTTCGATCTTAGGAAGCTCCTTAAAATATGATTTAAATCCTCGATGACCAGTTGCTTCTTAAAAAAATATAATTAAAAAATCCACGCCTATTTGGTCCTTTAAAAAATATGTATTTAAAAAATCAACTCCTAGTTGGTCTTTAAAAAATTATATTTAAAAAATCTACGGCTAATATTTTTAAAAATTTCACGCCTAATTGGTTTTTTAATAATATTATTTGGAAAATCCGGAACGAGGATAACTTTTAGAGTGTATAGATAAGATCACAGTTCCCAAAATGCTTACTAAAAGCGCACGTAAATTAGTATGTGCTACTAAGATCAGTATGAATGGTATTGGGCGGATTAATAGATGTGGAACTCTGAAAAGTGGGTTCGTTTTTTCTCCTTGATAACAAAAGGATCAAATAATCTGCATATATTTTTGTATAAAAATGGCGTTTGGCGAGCAGAACACCACTTCAGTTGGGGGTTAAACCGGTTTAAGGTACGCTGAGAAGATGTTAATGATGTCACCGATGATTCAGCTTACCTCAAAGAGGTCGTAACTTGTGACGAATTATGAAATCGGACGAATTGGGTATGACATGGAAACCAAAGCCCAATCATCCCAATATAAATATCCAGAAGGACCATCACTAAAAAAAACACTTAAATTTCGGTCAAATGAGAAGGATGGGCTCAGGGTTTTTTTCGAAGGCAATGGCGTGGTGCATCATGAATTTTTGCAAACACGGACCTAGGGTCAATACAGAATATTACCTATATTAAAATATTACCGAGCAGAATTGTGTATCGAATTCAACTGACTTGGCACCCATTAAAACCTTCAACATACCGCAAATGAGACGATCTTCTTCGGTAGATAACATATTAATTAATGGGACACTATATCCAAAATTGGACATATATTGACCGTTTCCTGCATATATGTATGCCAACCTCCGAAAACCTGAAATACCAATTGTCTGTCTATTTGATGGTAAAATGCAGCAAAAGTTCTAAAACTACCGAAAATTGGGAGGGACATTTATATAGGACTACCTTACAAAATGCGGTTATAACCTTCCAAATACCGAAAATTGGACGGGGGTGTACCAAAACATAGATAGCTATATCACTGTGAGACCAAATCGAGGGAGTGGAAACACTATTGGGTATGAAACACTTTGGTGAGTATATGAAAACCCCGGAAGAAAAAATTTACTATAGGTCATAGTTCGGAGATATGGTGTGATCATTTTTTTGCTGTCGACTATACGAGTATTATACATGAAGAGATAGCCTAATAGCTATAGCTATTATATGTATTTTTTGAGATTCGATTTCTTCAGTCGAATGAGGATTTTTCTAGGACATTTCGATTTTTGGGCGGTATAACTTCCAATTGGGGATGAAAGACCTAGGTGAGTATATGAAAACCCCAGAAGGAAAAATTCTCCATAGGTCAAAGTTCGGAGATATGGCGTGATCGTTTTTATAAAAAAAGGAAAAAAAAATGCGTCCATGTAATGTTGTTAAACCTTTATAACTGTACCGCCCCTTTCCAGTAATTTGAAGTGTTTAGTCACATTTTTCACCTGAAGGGACTTTAATTTGATTTCCGTTTTCTTGGAGGATACAATTATCTTTGCAGAACATAGGTTCATATTTAAACCTGCCCTTATATAAAGGTCCCACGTCATTTTACTGCAGAATTTTCCAGGTGATGTGGCTGTAACATTACTGACATAAAATCTACCGCCATATTTTTGATACGATGAAAGGCCTAGACGAATTTTCCAAACTAAAGTTCTGTAAGTTGAGTATATAGATTCTGAACAACTGCATTTATTTCAAATGCACAATTCTATGACACAAGGAAGATTGTGTATGGAATTTGGCATTCCATTTGTACCACATGGATTCATCTTAGTCCTCAAGAAGTATATATATTCTATTTAGGTATGTCCGTAAGTCAGCATACCAGATTTTTGCAGGTATATATACATATATGCGGAGAATTATCAATATGGGCCCATGTTTTTACCATGCTAACGGCATTCTGACTGGTTTTAGCTGAAGTTTCCAACCAATTTGTAATTTGGCGTTTAAGGACGTATAAATGACCCACCCAAGTTTCGGTATTTTGAGATTTGCATCAAAAGGCTCTAATTCCATTCCATATTTTTAGAGGGGGCTTTCATCTGTTAAAAAAGCGATCAAACCGAAAAGCCTGAAATGTGGAATTTCAGGTCTTATAGCCTAGACAGACGACAGCCTTAATTTGCATTAACAGCCTTAATTCAAATTAACTTGAACATTATCCTCATTTTAATGTGTTGATAATGCACAAAATCAAACTGAATTTATACTGAATTAGGCAATTTCAATATGGCAATGCTGTCGAAAATTAATTGTTTCTTGTCAAATTTATTTATATTTATGAAAATAAAAATAGGAAATCAAGGCAAAATTTCAACCATTTTTTAAAATGGGAGCTGTTTTGCTAAGATCATAGTTGCTATTCATCCTTTATGTCATGTATCGATTTCCTAAAGATGTAATCCCGAAAAATATCGAAACAAATGTAAAAAATTTTCATCCTACACACAGACAAACAATTGTTTTGAAGCAAAAAACTGTTTCGTAAATGCAGAAACTCTCGTCTGTCAGGGGTAAATATTAATTCAAATTAAAACATTTTTAATGCAAATTAAGGCTGTCGTCTGTCTATGGTATTAGGTAAAGGAAATACTTTTTCCAAGAAAATTGTCAATATAGATCAATGTGGCTAAATACATACTGAGATATCGCTTGTCATTTCGTTTGAAACACCTACAAATATTCTCCGGAGACACCAATGAGTATATTCGTGGCCTTCCCCTTCTACGGGAACCATCAGTAGGCTCGCTTTTATATGCCTTTTGAGCTGAGCATTCTCATTCATTCGCACAACATGGCCTAGCCATCGTAGTCGCTGCAGCTCAATACGACTGACCATGTCGATGTCCGCGTATAAATTGTAAAGCTCGTGGTTCATTCGACGCCGATATTCCCATGCTTCAGATCCATATAACAGCACGGGTAGTATCAGCGTCTTGTAATGTGTGAGTTTGGACTGGCGGGAGGTGGCCTTGTTTCTAAATTGCTTACTTATACCATAGTAGCATCTGTTGGCCATCACAATCCTTCTCCGAATTTCAAAACTGATGTCATTCGTTTTATTTATGGCGATACCAAGATATATAAAATCTTTAACTACCTCGAATCAGTAGTTTTCAAGTTCCACAGTTGGTCCGAGCCTACTGGACGTCTTGCGTGTTGATACCAGACTAGCAGACTCCTTCTCAATTTGTTCGAAGGTGGCTCTTACCGCACGCAATGTCCGACCCATTATATCGATGCCATCGGCGTGGGCGAGTAACATGTGTTGTTTGGTGTACAGAGTGCCATTTCTGTTCACCTTTGCGTCTGGTATGGCCTTTTCCAGCAGGATGTTAACTGCTGACCTAGTGCCACTTAAAGTTATCCTGCATAGCCGTATAAATTTTGCAGGAATGCCGAACGTAGACATGTCTCTAAACATCTTTAAACGGATAGGGATGTCGAATGCGGCATTATAATCGACGAATAGGTGGTATGATTCTGTCTGTACGTCTGTTTGAATGTTGCACAGACATTGCAGGAACTCCTAGGATGCTTGGCATGGCAAATGGGACACATCGTTCCACGTTTCGGTGTAGTCCCCCTATAACAATACCCCCTATATTCAGTATTTTGGGGATTTTGGGCACGTTTTCCAACCGAATTGGATGTAGTTGTAGTTTCCGTTTGTCCGATTTTCTAATTAGTCCGATTTTATTCAAAGGCAAACTAGTAACAATAATTCCCAAATATACTGTATTTGGACGCAAAACGCCAAATGCCTTATGATGCACACACTGAGTCTGTCAGTTATTTCCCCGTTTTTCCAACGACAGCAGCAACAGCAGCGTGCAATGTTTAAAACACTTGAAACTGTCTCTGTACTTCACTAAGTACTTGTGTTTCAAAACATATACACATCCACCTACATATGGAAGTCCCCAATACATGCTAACACATTTGTAAATACATTGACTTACTTCCTTCCTCTGGCATGAGGAAGAGTTGCGGAGACGTGAGAACTAGAAAGAGCAGTGAAAATGCTGTTGTAATACTCTGCAACACTGTACGACGACATCCGTTTCATTTAGATGTTAGATGAACGAAGAAAAAATCCACAGAGCCCGTCTATTCCTGCCACATGCAGTCAAATCGCAACACAACCCAACCACTGCCACTACTTCGCCGCGTCGACAATATCCGTGTGGTTCTGGTTCATTCATTTTTACCACTTCACATTTTATTCTCTCACTCATACTCACCCATTTGCCTGCATCACGTTCGTCAGCATTTTTGATAAGCAACAATGTTCGGGATAATATCACACGCTGTGACGATGGTATTGGATATAGGGCTGATGAATCCGATACACGATACCATCTGCAATGGTACAACAAGAAGAAGAACACAAACCAAAATTAAACAAGTAGAAGGAAAATAAGTGGAAAATGATGCTGCTGCAAAACGAAAAAGAGAATAGAGTACAAAATAAACATGCCCACAGACGCAAACATACACACACACACATTACAATACGTACGATTTTACACACCCAGGCAAAGCAAGGCGAGTATAACCAATTTCCTGCACCCATACAGATAAGCATTGAAGTATGAAAATCATGAATTACTCCATCTTAGCCAATGTTGAGTGTTTGCTTTGTAAGACTCTGAGGAGGCTCTACTAGCTCGCACACACACAAACACACACACACACACACACCAAAAAATATGTTTTTTATGGTAATTGAGCTATGATATGTTTAAATTGGTTTTAAAAATATGTTCCTCCTATAATGGGACGGTGTGGGGAGGAGATTGGAAGGAAGTGGCAATTTTTGGGAAAGAGGAAATTATGTAGGATAGGATTTTCTGTAATCCCTGGCTGTAATGAAAATCAATATTCATAACAGATTATTGACAATGTAAGCTTTTACGTGAAATTGCTTTTAGAAAATCATTGCCTTGGGTTAGGTCGGTTGTTAGGTTGGTTGTTTGTTCGGTCACAGTGTTAGCCAGCAAGGTATATTTTTAAGGCAATATAAATAATCCCAAACATTTTTTTCTTTTCTTCCTTTTTTGAACAATGATGAAACAATTTTCTGTTTTCATATAATGAATTTTATTTTTGGAAACAATAGCTTAGCAAAGCATAGTACGAAATAGGTCATTGTTATTGTAAACATCCTGTAGTCTCTTGTTTGTGATACGAAGATATTATCTTCTAAATTAAAATGTGCTTTCGTAAGAGCTACATTTTTGTTACTAAAAAACAATTTTAAACTAAGTTGAAATTCCAACCAATTCCTCGATTTTTATACCCTACACAACTATGTTGTAGCGATGATCGTTTTAAAATGTTCCATGAGGATCCAGTTATGCTCAAGGATAACCCCTATAATGTTCGGTGATGATCATATCATAATGTTGGGATGAAGTGGACGGAAAACATAATTTTTTGTGTTTTTCCGAGTCGATCTGTAGGCTACAATTGAATAAGGACATCACAACCCAAGGGAATCTGGACAAGTACTTAGAAGAGCTGTACTGAACAGTAGTAATATTTGTTGGCCTCTAGGTGGTCAAGATGGTTCAAATATCTCAGAATGTAGTACCACAGAAAGATCGATTTTCATGGAAGTTGTGTAGGGTATCACTGGTTTAAAAATGTTTTTTTGAGGCTTTAACCAAGGCGTGGATTTTGTAAAAATATTTAACTTAGGCGCGAAGTTTAAAAAAATATTTTTTCAAGGTGAAGATTTTTCAAAAATATTTTTTCAGGGCATGGATTTTTTAAAACATATCTAACTTAGGGGTGAATTTAAAAAAATTTATATTTTTTTCAAAGCGAAGACTTTTCAAAAATATTTTTTCAAGGCCTGGATTTAAAAAAAAAATATTTAGGGCGTGAATATATTTAGGGCGGGTACCACACTGTGGTACAGAGTATTATGTCATTGTTCAAATGTTTGTAACAGGCAGAACGAATCGAGATAGACCAATGGTTCCTTTTGAGAATATGCATAGAATCACTTTCTGAGTCGATTTATGCATGTCCGTCCATGAATTTTTCTGAACAAAGTACAGGTCGCACTTATGATCCGATTTGGATGAAACTTGGAGATAATTGGTTCAGATTTAGATATAACTCCCATATATAGTATCGTCCGATTTGTAGGTAAATGGTGTGCCAAACTCCCAATATTTGTCCGATTGAGACAAAATTTTGCACTGAGTACTGAATTAGGTCTAGATTGATACATGTCAAATTTTATTAAAATCGGTTCAGATTTATTTACAGTTCCCAAATATAGTTTACCCCTGATTATATGTAAATGGTGCACTATACTATAGATGTTTGTCCGATTGAGACAAAATTTTGCAAGAGTACTGAATTAGGTCTAGAATGATGCATGTCAAGTTTTGTATTGGATTTTGTGTCGAGATAAATTTTGGATAGCTCACTTTGTCCATTTAAATATAGATCTTTTACATATTTTGCTCGATGATTAACATTCAATTTTTCATAAATTTCAGATTGGTACCCAAACTGGTGAAGGGTATCATATAGACGGCCCCGTCCGACTTTTGATCTTTCCTTGCTGGTTTTAAATTATTTTTTAAGCACAATTTTAAGCGTAGATTGGTTTTTGACGTGGATTTTTTTAATAATATTGCTTTTCAAGACTTAAAAATATTTTCCTAATATTGTAATTTTTTTCAAAACTAATTTCAGTCGTCACATTAAAATAGAAAACCATATCCGAGTATATACAATATATTATTGTACTATCTGTAAACCTACCCCTTACTAATATTCAATAGATTTTAAATGATATATTTAATATTTCCCCAAATCCATTAAACTCCAAATACTTTGAAAACCACTACAATTCTAGCAGAAATATTTCATTAAAAGCACGTGAATCTCACGCCTAGTTTGACATTTCAAAATGTTGATGTGGATTTTTTCTAAATCCAATCGACTGTCTAACAAACTAACTGATTAAAATTCTATGAATATGCTGCTGCTGCTGTTGTTGCTTCAGCTCATTCAGCAGTATTAAGCGAACCCCCCAAAAATTGGGCAATAACACGAACAGGATAACGTACGTAGGCATTCAGTCAAACGTTCTCCCCTAGGCAAGGTATTTAATCTCGGAAAATATGTTGTTGATGTTGTTGTAACAACGACAACGATGTTACAGCTGATGATGAGAAGGACGACAATGTTGATGGAAGGAAAAATGCCCCACCGAAAAAAACTGATAAGCGTTAAAATTAAAAGCAAACAAGGAAGTTAAATTCAAGCCGTTCTCAAGGATATGCTTCAACGCAAGTTAACGTGTGTGTGGAATTTGTATGCATGTGTGTGTTGGTGTACAATATTAACACACACCTACATCCGTGTTTAACAACTATTTCCTTTCACTGTGTGTGTGTTTGTACGTGTGATTGTATTGGAATGTGAGAGAATGCGTGCCTGGCATAACAGAAATGAAGAAAATGTGGTTGCTATTGTTGCGGATAAGAAAAATATGTGACAGATTATGTCTAAGTAGCGTTTATTGATTTCGTGTTCATATGTTTTTTATACCCTTCACCACGCTGTGGTACAGGGTATTATGTCTTTGTGCATATGTTTGTAACAGGCAAAAATAATTGAGATAGACCCATGATTCCTTTTGAGAATATGCATAGAATCACTTTCTAAGTCGATTTATGCATGTCCGTCCGTCCGTCCGTCTGTCCGTCCGTCCGTCCGTCTGTCTGTCTGTCCATGTTAAATTGTAAACAAAGTACAGGTCGCATTTATGATCCGAATTGGATGAAATTTGGCATAGGTCACTTATTCGGCCCAAGGACGAACCCTATTGAAATTGGGAAAAATCGGTTCAGATTTAGATATAGCTCCCATATATATATTTAACCGATTTAATGTAAACGGTCCCTATATATCTTTCGATCTGCACGAAATTTGGTACAGGCTAATCATTTAGGCCTATAATGATGTCTGCCAATTTTCGTGAAAATCGGTCCAGATTTAGATATAGCTCCCATATATAGTTTCGTCCGATTTCATGTAAATGGTGCCCCTAAGTCCCTATATATCTTTTGATTTGTACGAAATTTAGCATAACGTACTGAATTAAGCCTAGAGTGATGTCTGCCAAGTTTCGTGAAAATCGGTCCAGATTTAGATATAGCTCCCATATATAGTTTCGTCCGATTTCATACAAATGGTGCCCCAAAGTCCCTATATATCTTTTGATTTGCACGAAATTTGGCATAACGTACTGAATTAAGCCTAGAGTGATGTCTGGCAATTTTCGTGAAAATCGGTCCAGATTTAGATATAGCTCCCATATATATTTTCATCCGATTTCATGTAAATGGTGCCCTAATGTTCTTATATATCTTTCGATTTGCACGAAATTTGGTATAACGTACAGAATTGAGCCAAGAATGATGTCTGCCAAGTTTCGAGAAAATCGGTCCAGATTTAGATATAGCTCCCATATATAGCTTCGTCCGATTACATGTAAATGGTGCACCAAAGCCCCTATATATCCTTCGATTTGCACGAAATTTGGCATAACGTACTTAATTGAGCCCAGAATGATGTCTGCCAAGTTTCGAGAAAATCGGTCCAGATTTAGATATAGCTCCCATATATAGTTTCGTCTGATTTCATGTAAATGGTGCCCTAATGTTCTTATATATCTTTCGATTTCCACGAAATTTGGTATAACGTACTGAATTGAGCCTAGAATGATGTCTGCCAAGTTTCGAGAAAATCGGTCCAGATTTAGATATAGCTCCCATATATAGCTTCGTCCGATTACATGTAAATGGTGCACCAAAGTCCATATATATCCTTCGATTTGCACGAAATTTGGCATAACGTACTTAATTGAGCCCAGAATGATGTCTGCCAAGTTTCGAGAAAATCGGTCCAGATTTAGATATAGGTCCCATATATAGTTTCGTCCGATTACATGTAAATGGTGCACCAAAGTCCCTATATATCCTTCGAGGTGCACGAAATGTGGCATAACGTACTTAATTGAGCCCAGAATGATGTCTGCCAAGTTTCATGAAAATCGGTCCTGATTTAGATATATCTTCCATATATAGTTTCGTCCGATTTCATGTAAATGGTGCCCAAAGTCCCTATATATCTTTTGATTTGCACGAAATTTGGTACAGCCTAATCATTTAGGCCTAGAATGATGTCTGCCAAGTTTCGTGAAAATAGGTCAAGATTTACATATAGCTCCCATATATAGTTTCGTCCGATTTCATGTAAATGGTGCACCAAAGTCCATATATATCCTTCGATTTGCCCGAAATTTGGCATAACGTACTGAATTGAGTCTA